ATGCCTCCTTCAGGCATCACCTTCCAATCAAAATCTTGGTTGACAAAACCACCATTGGCAACAAGTCTTACTGAATTTTCTGTAAAGAAACCTTATGTCATCACTCACTCCTAAAGAATGCTGAATTCTGGAGGGATCAGGTAGAGAGAAAAATATAAATCTTGAAGGAAAATCCTTGTCCTAACACCCACCAAAATTTCATTTCTTTGCCTTATACCTTTCATTGTTTACTTTCCATTTGATGTAAAGTTTTAATTCTCCATGAGAAATCTCAATTTCCTTTTGCAACTGACACAAAGCAAAATCCAAAGCAAACACAGAGTTCAAAAAGAAGAAGCGGAACTGGAACTAGACTTAGAACCTTGTCTCATTTCCCTCCAGACTCACTAGCCAGTTGCACAGGTGACCTTCCCTAGGTTTCCAATGGTCCAAAGCCTCACTGGTAGAGGGACTCTCCTGCCTACCAGTTCTTCCACTTCCTTCATGACACAGACATGACCTCTCACCACAGTTGGTACACCGACCAGCATTCCATGGCACAGAGCCCCAGTGACAGAGGCACTCTCACCTACCAGTGCATCCATTAATCTCCTGACAAAGACGTGATCTCTTACCCCTAGCTGATACACCGACCAGTATTCAATGTCACAAAACCCCAATGGTAGAGGCACTCTCTCGCCTACCAGTGCATCCACTGGTCACTGGGCAGACACATGCCATCTCACCACCCAGTCTCATGTCAGAGACATGCTCTCGTGCCCCAATCCATATTTCTCTGTCACCAAATAACTCTTCCTAGGTCCCAAATGGCAAAGGCATTCTGTATAACTAGTTTCACAGATGACCTCTTCTAGATCCCAATGGCCAAACAGCAGTGACAGGATTCCTGATGTACCCAAAACAGTAAATTTCAAACCATGTCCCCATAAAATCGAAAATGAGCAAAGAAACCAAGCAAGCCAAAGAAAACCAAACTCAAGAGTGTGGTTTCCTTTCCTCCAGGTTTAAAACTTTCACAGTCTCCTATATATACCTTTACTCATTCAGATTTAGCCATAACTCACTTTCAATCCTTGTTCTTTTTCACATTGAGAAGGACCATATTTAAACTCAGTATCTGGCAGCTAAAAGTCCCTAGTTCACAAGCAAACACTGTCATCTTGTATTAGGGTTCACTGTTCTTTTCTGGAAGAGTAATTTGAAATCTCCAGGAGTGCAAGTCCAGCTTTCCCTTTCCGCGTGAACCACAGCAGCAGGGTTTGCGTCCTCCTCAGGTGGTGCCCGTTTTATTCATGTGTAGTGGATCTAGGGCTTGATTCCCCTTAGCTTTAGGGAAGAATGTGTTGTCAACAGGAAGTCTTAGGGACCTGTCCATTGTTTTGCCTAGCTGCTGTTTAGGGCCTTAAGTCTTCCAGGTCTTTCATCTGTCTTTGAATGTGGTTAATGAAAAGGACACTAACTGTATTTCAGTCATCTGTTTCCCTGAGTAGGGTGATTTTAGCTATTTACCCTCTGATTGGTGAGGAGAAGTATAAACCGTTTACTCTTAAGTGTCCTTGGTTTAGGAAAAATAGGATTTTGCAATTTACTAGATGGCTGTAAACTGTTTGGCCAATTAATCTACTTAGTTTCCCTATTCCACTTTTCCTGGCTTACTGGCCTGTCTCATATTTATACAACTGATACAACAAGATGAATAAATCTCAAAAATATTTTTCTAACCAAATAAACCAGGCACAAGAAAGTACATACTGTATGATTCCATTTATACAAAATTCTAAAAAATTCAAACCTAATCTATTCTATTTTTTCTTTTTTAAGTGTCAGGCATTCCCTTCTCCAATGGCCCTTCTACCTGCAATAGGCACATTGTTCGGCATCTAGGGGGTCTTTCCTCCTTCCTTTAGGGTCCTGCATCTTCTGGTCTCACCACCCTATTTCTATGAATGCTGTGGCCGGCTTTATATGCCTTGTTTCCTGGGTGTTGTAAACTTTAGAGGCTATGTCTACCAGCTGAGACAGATTCATTCCCAATATGCCATCTAAATTCTGGAGTTTCCTTCTAATATCCAGGGTACTTTGCCCAATAAAAGTCATGTTCACCATACGAACATTTTCTGGTACCTCTGGGTCAGCATCAGTATGCTTTCCATAGCCCTGATAGATCCTCTCTAAAAATTCAGAAGGATCCTCCTTTGGCTTTTGCTGAAAGGTCTGTATCATATTCAGGCTCTTTTGCTTGGGCACCCCCTTCTCAAGCCCTTCCAATATACACTTTCTGTAATGTTCCAGGAAGGTTAGGTCCCCACCATTTGGGTTCCAGTTAGGCTCTGTCAAGGGAACTGCCCCACCTGAGTTGGGGGTCCTATCGATATTCTTCTGGTGGAGACGTTGGGCCTCTTCATTAGCCCTATTTATAACCAGCCTTCTCTCATCCACAGTTACCAAGATATTTAGGAGGGCCTATACATCTGCCCATGTTGGATGATGAGTGGCAAAAATGGAGGCAATAAGATCTGCCATTCTCTGAGGATCATCCCTATATGAGGGGCTGGAATTCTTCCAATTTAGTAAGTCTGAAGTGGAGAACAGAGAATGTGCCCAACAGTAGCCAGTGGGCTAGCCCTGCTGATTTACTCCACCTATAGGATATTGCCTTAAAGGAAACTGGCTTGCTCCAGGTAGCCAAATTGAGTACCCTCATGGAAGTGAGGAAAAGGGGAGTACCCTTTGAAGGGCAGACCCATCCTTCATCATACAGGGGTGGAGCTGTTGGCTCTGTGGTCTCTACTTCACAAGAGGCAGCTTGCAAAAGGGGTGGTAGCAAGCAAACTACTCCCGTCACTGACCCTGGGTCCTCTGGGTTCAGAGCACTGATGAGGTTTATCTCCTCATTCTCCTTTTCTTCCTGTGCCTTACTGTCAGGAAGAGGTTTTGAGGCCTCTTCTCTTCACCATCACATGGTTCTCTGTCCCTGGGGAGACTCCATTATGCAATGACATAAATGCACTGACATAAATGAATTTCATCCCATCTGTCTAACTGAGCCAGTCTCTACCCTCTTTTTATTTTAAATCTCTGGCCCATGCTGCCATGCACTCTGGAGACATTCAGCTTCTCAGCCAATCCTATCCTAGACTGCTTACCACTGCCTCAGGCAAACTGCTCCTAAGACCTCTCCCTACTCTGCCCCAGTGATCTGATCAGATCTCTGAATCAATATGACAACTGTCACAAATATAATCTAAAAATTGTTTCAAATGAAGTTAAAGACAGCTAAGCGCTACTAGAGCCATCTTATAGAAAAAAACCCAAGGGAACTTTTTGGGCCAACCCAATACTAGAGCCAGTGCAGTAACACAAGGAATACAGACTAACTGGCAAGCTCTTCATTATTCATAGGCACTATGTTCCAAGAAAACAAAAAAAAAATCTATAAACAAAATGTTGGAATTAAATAAATCATATATACTGTATTCATTTAATCCCACAGTGGGAATCAAATGAACAAACTAGTGCTAAATTCAGAAACATGAATAAATCTTAGAAATAATGTTAAGTGTAATGATGATTGTGTACCATATGAGATCATTTTTGTAACATTCAAAAATCAAACAAAACTATACAATGGATTGTTTAAGGAACAAATTCCTGTAGTAAAACTATTTTCTAAGGAGAAAGGAAATGACAAAATGCAGGGGAGTGGTTGACTTCAGTGGGGAGAAAGATGTGATCAAGGAGAAGCACCTAAGTAGCTTCTACTTCTTAAAATAGGGGAGAGGAAGGGGCTCAAAAATACAGACTTTATCGTCATGCTTGAAAAAAGCATATGTTATAAATTCTTTAGTAAATGCACCAACTATTATATAAATAAAATAATTTAAATGAATGGAATAATCTAAACAAGTGATGGTCAGTAGATACATTTTTAAGTTGTAGGAAAAAAAGCTGGAACTGTGATCCCAGAGGAACTGACCTGGACTTACAACTCAGCACAGGTTTCATTCACAGTAGGTGTACCACAGGAAATACAATAACCACCACAAATATGAGGTGAACAAATGTCTGTTAATCTCAGGCATAAGCACAGCCCAAAGTTTTTGAGCAAAAGCCACAAACTAAGTCCTCGGTTGGAGGTTTCCATATCTGTTTTATGTCACAAAATCGGAAAGCCTATAGAGAAACTTCCCCCCCTGGCCTCTCTCTCCAGCCAGCTCTGCAACATACACACATTAAGCCTTTTCTTTACAGTCATAAAATTGATATTACACCAGCCTATGCACATGTCTCTTCAAACCCTGAATAATGTCTACATAACCAACAATTAACTTTCAGAGACTATAATTTGGTTCTCGTCTGATTCTAAAGGTATCAGTAATCTGGTCATTTGATACATTTGGACAAAAAAAAAAAAGACTTTAAGCTTAATAGATCAAAAATAAAACCCAAACGTCATTTCAACTTTGAAGAGAATATATTATCAACACATATGAATACACAGACACATACAAAGGCTGCAACCTTACTAATAGTCAGAAAAATATATATTAAAAACAGTGAGCTTTTACATGTTAGTCTGCATATATAAAAAAGAGAAACCATGTCTAGTGTTGGTTACTGAAATTTATATAAGACTTACAGATAAGTTTACATATAAGTTTATATGACCTTTTAGAATAGCAATTGGCATTGTCAGCATTTAAAATGTGCATATGTTTCTATTTAATAATTTCATTCAAGATACCCACACAGAAAAAATTGTCCCACGTTTGCAAAAAAAAAAAAAAAAAAAAAAAAAAAACCGCAAGAAAAATTTTTGCAGTATTGTTAGTAAAAGTGGAAGGAAAGAAGGAAGGAAAGGAAGGAAGCAAGGAAGGAAATAAGGGAGGAAGAAAGGAAATAGATGTCCATTTTTATTTGTCTTCAAATAAAATTAAAGATCTAAATTACCATATTTTCAACCAGAATCTTAAAAGCTACATGAATTAACAAAAACTTACCTCAAAAAGAAAGAGGATGGAGTCTAGCTCTTCCCTTTGTGACTTATTATTCCCTGGAATATTAAAAAAAATAGTTATCATGAGAATGTGTAAATTTTAGTATATTAAAAACTTATTTTAAGGAATCAAGATGGCGGAGGAGTGAGTGGAAGTCACAATGACCTCCTCCCAGGACCAATCTAGAATTAAACTAAACTGTGGAGAAATCACCTGGAACAAACAACTGAAAAATATCAAGAGAGGAGCCTTATTACCTTGGACAGACAGAAGAATCCGCTTTAGCACAAACTAACTGGTAATGAATGCGGTAGAGACTCGAGAAGGCACATGGGGTGCTCACAGGCAAAAGCACCTGAAGGATACTGAAATGGCCAGTTGGATCCCCCTGAGAAGAGCGGGGTCTAAACCATAAGCGGGGGTCTCCAGTCCACAGCACCAGAGCCCAAAAAGCACACAGAAAACAGCCAGCTGCAAAAAGCGGCAAGGTTGCTCTCTGCCAGAGACAGGCAGCTGGAGATGCAAAGAGCCGTTTAAAGGGCCATTGCATAAATTTGTATTGGCAGCCACTAACCCTGGTCTCTGGCAAAGGAGGGGCAGAGTGGGCTAGAGACGCCTAAGGAGAGACTGGGGAAGGAGGCTTTGGGGAGAGAATGGAGAAAGTAGCCAGTGGGATCATGGTGCTGACTCCTCCCCCATACAGCAGCAGCCATCTGGCTCAGGCAGACAATTCCCCTGAGCAAGAGCAGCATGAGAGGACCCAATAAGCCCACCCCCAGAAGGCACTCTGCCTCACCTTGTGACGTCTAAGTCGGCCTGCTTGCTAAGTGCAGAGTGACTAGATTAACGCCTGAAGGAGACAGCCCCAGACAGTAGGTGCCTGTAAGTCTTGAAGAAACTGCCTAAGGTCAGACAGGGTCAACATGTGACATCAACAGAGACAGATCCAGAAAGAAAAAACAGCAGTCTGTTACCACAGAAATTTACACCACAAAGTCAGGAAATCAGGGCAGATCAATTTAAGAAGCAGAAACCAAAAAGAAGAGTCTCACAAATAATGGGATGACAAAGAAACACCCCCCCACCCCCGGTCAGAGGGAAAGGAGGGTCCCCTTAAAAAGAACTAAATGAAATAGAGGTAAGTAAACTATCAGATATTGAGTTCAAAACAATGGTTCTAAGGAAGCTCAATGAACTCAGTGAGCTCAGAGAGAACTACAAAATACTACAGGGAAACTATGAGGAACTTACTGCAAACTATATCACCATGAAAAAGGACACAGAAACTATCATTGAGAGATAAGAGGAAATGAAGAATACAATTTCTGAATTGAAGAACACAGTAGAAGGAATCAAAAGCAGGCTAGATGAAGCAGAGGCTCTAAACAGCGAGCTGGAGGGTAAGGTAGAAAAAAGCTCCCAGAAAGAACAAGAAATGGAAAAAAGACTCAAAAAGAATGAAGAGGCACTTAGGGAAATGCAGGACAACCTGAAATATAACATCCATATAACAAGGATACCAAAAGGAGAAGAGGAGCAAGGGACAGAGAATCTGTTCGAAAAAGTAATGATGGAAAACTTCCCTAACTGGAGGAGAGAAAAGTCAAGCATGCCCAGGAAGCACAGAGGGTCCCATTCAAGAGGAACCCAATGAGGCCCACTCTCAGTCATATCATCATTAAAATGGCAAATATCAAAGACAATGAGAGAATCCTAAAGGCAGCAAGGGAGAAACAGGTAGTAACATACAAGGGAGCCCTGGTATGGCTAGCAGCTGACCTCTCAACAGAAACACTGCAAGCCAGAAGGGATTAGCCAGAAATATTTCAAGGAATGAAAAGCAAAGTCCTGCAAACAAGACTGCTCTACCCAGCAAGGCTCTCAATTAAAATGGAAGGTGAAATAAGGAGTTTCCCAAACAAAAGAAGGCTAAAAGAATACACCTCCACCAAACCAGCCTTGCAAGATATGCTATAGGGGCTGCTTTAAGATGAAGAAAAAGAGTCTATGAATACCTAGCTCCTTTCACAGTCACAAATACTTGATATTACCAATATTTTTAATACTTATTAATCTGTGATAATAATGTGTTATTTTAATTGTTCCTTTATTATTTGTTTAAACTAAACCTGTTTTTGTATATTTGTGCTTATTTCCATTATTTTTAAAAAGCTTTTAATGACTTTTTGGTATTCTTTATCCATTATTTGATTAAATGTTTGTAGGATATTTTTCCCTAAAAAAAAAAAAAAAGAAAATACCATTAACCCTTTTTTAGATGTATTGCAAACACTTCCCTATTCTATTACTTGTTCTTTAACTTTTTTTATATTTATATTACTGTATAGTCTTAAATGTTTTATATTGTCAATATTTTACTTTATATCTTCTGGGTTTGAAAATGTTACTTCAGAGTAAGAAAAATATTATTTTGTATTTCCTCCTAAAACTCCTTAGATTTTACATATTGATTTTTAACTCACCTGAATATTTTTGTATAATGTATGAAATAGACCTCTGTATTGGTTTTATTTCAAATAATACTGGTCTATTCACCCTATTTGTTGAATAAGCCTATTTTACCTATTGATTTGAAATATCAATTTAATCATTTATTATATTGTTAGATATATGTTTGTTTGTAGAATGCTCATTATATTTCATTGATCTACTTTATTATTTCTGTGTTGATGTCATGTTGTTTTAATTTCTGAGACTTTATAATGAATTTAAATTTTTTAATATTTTATAATGGATTTTTACATTTAAAAAAATAAATAAAATCTGTATTTTAAAAAAGGAAAGAAAGGAAGAAGGAACTTCTACCTTTTGTGACAACATGAACAGAACTGGAGAATATCATGCTAAGTGAAATAAGCCAGTCAGTGAAAGACAAATACCATATGATCTCACCTGCATGTGGAATCTATTCAACAAAATAAACTAATGAACAAAATAAACCACAGGCAAGGAAACATGGAGCAGACTGAAAATGACCAGAGGGGATGTGGAAGGAGGACAATGGTGGAAAAAAGGAGAAGGGATTAACCAAAGAACATGTATGAATGACCCATGGACATGGGCAACAGAGTGACAATTGACTGGGGGAGGGGATGGAGTGGGATGGGTGGAGGAGGGCAAAGTGAGAAAAATTGAGACAACCGTAATAGAATAAATATGATTTTTAAAAAAAGAACTCCAAATATAATTGTAAATTTCTGTATTTCTCTATGTAATTCTACCCATTTTTCTTCATGTATTTTGAAGCTCTGCTTTTAGACACATGCACATTTTAGACTATTGTATCATCATATTGGATTTATGCCTTTATTGCCATGGAATTTCCCATTTTATCCCTTTGAATATTCTTGCCTTAAAACCTGCTTTGTCTGATATTATGATAGACACTTCTGCTTTTTAAAATTAGTGTTGGTGTAATGTAATTTTTTCCATCCCTTTACTTTTAATTAATTTGTGTCTATATCTTTAAAATGGGTTGTTATCATTGAATAGAGTTCTTATATGTTTCATTCTAATAAACCACCATAATAACCCCTAAAAAAACAAACTTATGTTAAAAAGTATCTTAAAACATTAAAGCCCCAACATATATTTACTTATTCAAATAATACTGAGAGGTAGTATAGAGCCCATGTTAGGAATGCGGATGGACTACCAAGCCAGGCTCTACATCTAGCAGAGCTGTTGCTTGCTATTTAAACACAGCCTTCATGTTTTCCAAGTTGTTAGCAACCTATGACAGGTAATTTATTCATTTCTCAATTAGTTACTTATGAGGTCAAATTATCATAGAAGACACAGTAAAACCAAAGAAAGAGTTCTAATTTTTTGACATGAAGAGGCATAGAGCAGTAATAACCATAAAAAGTCACATATACCTTTAAGCAATTGCACACTGCTTTTTTAAAATAAGAATAATAAAAATTGTAACACCTACAGCAGCAGTTACCATATATTGTCCAGTCTATGTACCAAGCACTATGCTAAGTGCTTAGCATATATCATCTAACTTAGGAAATCAGCAAAATTTTTCTGTAAAGGTCCAGATAATAAATATTTTAGGCTTTTCAGGCCTCTCTTAAAACCTCTCAACTCTGCTGTTATAGTGCAAAGGCAGCTATAGACAATACATAAGTGAATGGGTATGGCTGTGTCCAATAAATCTTGATTTATAAAAACAAGCAGCAAGCTCTCAGTTGTGGACTCTTGATCTAACTGAATCCTCAGAGCTCTAGGAAGTAGATACCATTTATTCATCAAACAAATACCAAAGGATGTCTCTATGTCAGAGATTATTCCAGGAACTGAGAATACAGAAGTGAATAAAACATAACAACCCTAAGGAAGCTTGCATTTTGGCAGGAGGAGGCATGCAATAACTGAGTAAGTGAGAAAACCGATAGGAAAGGAAGATGAGGAATGCCCAAATGGGCGGTATGCAATTTTGACTAGTAAAGTCAAGGAACTCCTTGCTAATAAGGTGCATCTGTGCAAAGATATAAAAAAAGGCAAGGAACAAACCACATGAAAATTTGGGGATAAGAAAATAAGCCATATGGAAATTTGGGGAAAATATTTTCCAGGCTGTATGACTGGACAGTGCAAAGTCCTATGGCTGAACAAATGTGGCATGGTCAGGAAGGAAGGCAATTGCAAGACGACCCCTGTATCTGGAGTAAAGAAGGAGAATTGTAGTAGGTGGATGTAGTAAAGGAATACAGGTAGGGTCCGAAGCCATTGTAATGACTTCAGGAATGGGAACCCATCTGATGGTCTGGAAAGCCGAGAGTCATAATTTGACTCACATGTTTTAAGCATCACTCCAGCTGCTCTTTTGTAGACACTTTCGTAGGGGTTAAAGAGGGAGAGGAGAGAGCAACAATCTAGTGAGCTTAATGGGAGCTTCAGCATTACCAGCATAGACAATGAGAAGAGGCCAATGATTCTGGATGTATTTTGAAGGCAGAGTCAATAACTCAGGATTTGGCCTAAATAACTGAAAGGCTGAAATTATACTAAGATGAGTTCATTATTCCTAGTAAACATTTTCTTTGATTCTCTTGTTTTAGTATATTTTCTTCCCTGCATTCTGATCAAAACTCAGATTGTATTAAAATCAAGAAGCTTTGAAATCCCACCTGTTTTTACTAGTTCTTTGTTATGGCTCTTTGCAGTGGATAGTAAAAATGGAGAGAATTTTCCCCTTCCCATCAAAAAATGTCTATTTCTCTATCCCTTGAATCTGAGATGCCATGTGACTTGCTCTGGCCAATGCCAGATATTAGCAAATGTGAGGCAAGCACAAACTTGAAAACTCTCTTCCTGAGCTTGGAACCCTAAGATGACTATCTAAAGGAGCCCAAGATAGCCTATTACCTGGAGAAGAGGGGCCACATGGGGGAGAACTAAGGCACCCTGGTCAACAGCTTACCAACCATAAGACATGTGAATGAGGCCATCCACCACCAGCTAATATCAAAGGCATGAGCTAGCCTAAACCAGAAGAGCCACACAACAGACCGAGAGAATCGTAGTTAAATGACTAGCTGTTGCTTTATGACACTCAGTTTTGGGGTGGTTTGCTATGCAACACATACTATCTGATACAATCTTAAACAGTCACATTTTTCTAAAAGTATAGAGGAATAAAAAGGGGGAGGAGGAAGGCAGGGTGGACCCTTTAAAGATGAGATTTTTAGGTTGTAGCAGTTTTTTTTAAAGATATGGGGCTTTAGTTTTTCTTGGCTCTTTTGGTTGCACGTAATATCACATTATTCGCCTCCACACAGCTATGAAAAGAAAGTGAAGTGGAGCAAAGCTAGAAAGAAAAATAATTAGATGACCTCATATTTGAAATATCTATTGATTTGGCAAAAAGGAATTTTAAGTTCAAGATTTATATTAATTTACGAATCTTGATATATTCAAGCAGGGGTAAAAACAGAGCAATTCATTAAAAAAAGAAAGAAGAGCAAACACTTTTTAGCATCCTGGGCACATGCCCATGTATGATGACCTACTAGAAGCCTGGAGCATTCTGTAAAACTGAGTTATCTGCTCTATCTCAGGGATCACCACAGTGCCTCACCCCAAATTCCTTGACTCTTTTCAACCCACTTCCCCCATTTACCTTCCACCAACAGTTATCTCTCTTTCCTCAGCCTGCAAACAAGCAATGTATCCTTTAAAATCTTCCCATGACCAGGCTACTACCCCTTGAGATACAATCCTCTGTCTTCATCATCACATTTTCAAAAGCGGTGTTCTCACATGTAGCCTTCATGGTCTCACCACCCAGTTACTCCATTTCTGTCTGTCTTGATTCTGACCACACCACTCAGCTAGAACTTTTCTTTCACTAGTCAGTCACAGCCTTCTTGGTACACTATCATTTCCTAGTCCTATTGCTACTCACCTTTTTATATCACCAGGCATTACTTATCTTTCATTCCTTGAAATTCTCTCTTCTCTGGGCATCTATGACCAAACACTTTCCTCCCTTCACCTACTACTCCTTTATCTTTCCTCTTTGCTGAATAAAAGAAGAAATTGCCCCAAATCCCTGACTGCCACTCCCTCTCTCTGCATATACTTTGTTCCTTGGCAACAGCATGATTGCACCTCTCTTCCACAAGCACCAGTCGCTATATTTTTACTGCCCAGCCAGAACATATACCTAGGTGTCTCAAAGAGCACTTCGTGGATATGAGGAAAAGGGATACAAGAGGGAGAAGTCAAAGATGCATTCAGGATGTTAGGTCTAGTTCATAAGCTACCATTACAAGAATGGGAACTCTGGGTTAGTGTTAGGGGAGCCAGGTTTGGAAGGTAAGAACATGAGTGTAGCTTTGGGAAGTCTGAGTTTGAGATACAGGAAAATCTGAACATTTAAAAAATTTTAAGGGAAGGAGGGAGGGGGGGCAGGGAAAAGGAAGGAAAGGGGAAAGTCAAGGAACATATAGCAAAGACTCATGGACAAAACCAAAGGGGAAGAGCTGAGGGAGGGAAGGAGGGAGGGGGCAAGGGAAAGTGGTGGGGGGTAGGTAGAGACAAATGTATTTGACAAAATAAATTAAAATAAAATTTAAAAAAATTTTATGTCAAAAAAATCATAAACTGCTTACCTTTTAATTTCAAACTATTTTCCAGTGTTATAAAATTTTCATAGAAGATGAAGTATATCTGAGAATAGTTGGTCTCAAAGAACTGCTTAAGTTCACTTGCATCCACATTATCTGAAAAGAAAAAGTTTCCATTTATGACAATAATATGATATAATCATCAGAAATCACAACTTTTTCGGGAGGAGCCTTGGAGCCGAGGAGAGACAGTGGATTCAACTTTCACACATCCCAACGGGTGAGAAGTGTGGTGGAGGCTCGAGAGGGTGGGCTGGGTGCCCACGGGCACTAGCACCAGAGGGACATTGAAATGGCCAGTTAGCTCCCCCAGAGAAGAACAGGTTCTGAAACATAAACAGGAACCTCTAAACTACAGCAGCTAAAACCAGGAAAATACAGACAAAATGCAACCCCGAAAAGCTTAGGGGCCCTCTCTGCCAGAGACAGGTGACTAGGGATGCAAAGAGCCATTTAAAGGGCCAACAAAAAAATTGCAGGGGCAGCCACCCTCCTTGATCTCTGGGCAGAGGCAGCAGCAGGGAGGGCTGGTGCCTGGGAAAAGACTGGTGAGGAAAACTTTGCGAAGAGAACTGACATGGCAGTTGGTGGAGCCCTGGTGATAACGCACCTCCCACTCTGCAGCTACTATCTCGCTCAGGCATAAGGGAATCAATTAACCTGCCTTTTGTGCACTCCGCACACAGCTTGTGTGCATGTGAACTGGGGGGCTAAGTGCAGACTCGCTGGGAGAGCCTTGAGGAGAGACTGGAGATGGAGGCGTTGGGAAAAGAACGGGAGGAGGAACCAGGGAGTCCCGACTCCTTCTCCTTTCCCTAGTCTCCATTGTGCGGGAAAAAGACACACCCATAAAGAGCCAAAAGTCGAAAAGGACACAATAGAGAGCCCAAAACAACCCAGTTCAGGTGCACACACGTGCGCCGAGTGACCTGTGAGGGTTAGCGAGTGTGTGTGTGGACCGGCGCAGGCCGCGAGCGCAGAGCAGGCTGCAGAAATAGTGAATCCCCAGCCAAATGGGCACAGAGCTGACCAAAGCAGGAGTCAGACACAGACAGTAGACTCCTGGAAGGCTCAAACAAACGACCAAGGCCATATAGGATCACCAACTGACATCATCAGAGACAGGCCCAGAAAGAAAAGGAAAAAAAAATTTAAAAATAAATAAATAAATAAAAAGACCAGCCTACTACCATAGAAGATTAATCCACAAAATCACGAAATCTAGACAGCCCAATGGAAACAGAAGCAAAAACAAATAAGTAAATTACTTAACAGACTCTCACAAAAATGGGAAGAAAAAGAAGTTCCCCCCAAATGAACGGAAAAGGGGACTCCCCAAAGAGAGAGAGCTAAATGAAATAGAGGCAAGGGAACTATCAGATACTGAATTCAAAACAATGGTTCTAAGGAGCTCAATGAGCTCAGCCAGCTCAAAGAGAACTATGAGAAACAGGAGAGAAACTATCAGGATCTTACAGCAAACTATATCAGCCTGGAAAAGGACATAGAAACTATCAAGAAGACACAAGAGGATATGAAGAATACCATTTCTGAATTGAAGAACACACTAGAAGGAATCCAAAGCAGGCTGAATGAAGCCGAGGATTGAATCAGTGAGATGGAGGATAAGACAGAAAAAAGCTCCCAGAAAGAACAAGAAATGGAAAAAAGACTCAAAAAGAATAAAGAGGCATTTAGGGAAATGCAGGACAACCTGAAACACAATAATATCTGTATAATAGGGATACCAGAAGGAGAAGAAGAGGAAAAAGGGATAGAGAACATCCTCAAAAAAGTAATGATGGAAAATTTCCCTAATTTGAGGAGAGAAAGGCTCTTATGGATCCAGGAGGCACAGAGAACCGCACTCAAGAGGGACTCAAGGAGGTCCACTCCAAGACACATCATCATTAAAATGGCAACTATCAGAGACAAAGAATATCCTCAAAGCAGCAAGGGAGAAGGAGAAAGTAACATACAAGAGGGCTCCAATAAGGTTAGGAGCTGACTTCTCAACAGAAACACTACAAGCCAGAAGGGAATGGCAACAAATAGTCCAAGTCATGGAAAGCAAGGGCCTACAGCCAAGGCTGCTCTACCCAGCAAGGCTCTCAATTAAAATAGAAGGGGAAATAAGGAGTTTCCCAGACAAAAGAAGGTTAAGAGAATACATCTCTACCAAACCAGCACTACAAGATATGCTAAAGGGACTGGTTTAAGAGGATGAAAGAAAAGAGTGAGAAAGAGAAAAACACAGGTACAAAGAGAAAAAATGAAAAGTTTCTATCAGTAATAACTCTCAATGTGAATGGACTAAATGCCCCAATCAAGATACACAGGGTAGCTGAATGGATAAGAAAACATGACCCACACATATGCTGCCTACAAGAGACCCACCTCAGAGCCAAAGACCTACATAGACTGAAAGTAAAGAGATGGAAAAAAATATTCCAAGCAAATGGACATGAGAAAAAGGCCGGGGTTGCCATACTTGTATCAGACAAAGTAGATTTCAAAACACAGGCCAAAAAAGAGACCCAGAGGGGCACTTTATCATACTTAAAGGAAGAATCTATCAAGAAGACATCAACATTGTAAACTTATATGCTCCCAATGTAGGAGCCCTCAAGTATATAAGGAAATTGTTGGATGACTTCAAAAAAGATATAGACAGCAACACACTGATAGTAGGGGATTTCAACACCCCACTGTCAAAAATGGACAGATCTTCCAAACAAAACATTAATAAACATCTTGTGGCGCTGAATGACACACTGAATCAAAGAGACTTAACTGACATATATAGAATCTTACATCCCAAAGAAGAAAAATACACATTCTTTTCAAAGGCTCATGGCAGTTTTTCAAAGATAGACTACATGATAGGACACAGAGCAAACCTCAGCAAATTCAGGAAAATTGAAATAATACCAAACTTTTTCTCGAAACACAAGGGATTGAAACTGGAAATCAACCTCAAAGAGAAACCTCAAAAACTTGCAAACTCATGGAGACTGAACAGTAGGCTATTAAACAATTAATGGGTCAATAATGAGATAAGAGAAGAAATCAAAAAATTTCTGGAAACAAATGAAAATGAACAAACAACAATCCAAAACCTATGGGACACAGCAAAGGCGATCCTGAGAGGGAAGTTCATAGCAACACAGACTTACCTAAAAAAGACAGAAACATTTCAAAGAAAAGACTTAACACTACAACTTCAAGAACTGGAGAAACAACAACAAATAACTCCCAGAGCAAGCAGAAGGAAGGAAACAGTCAAGATTAGAGCAGAACTGAATGACATAGAGACGAAACGAACAATTCAAAGGATCAACCAATCCAGGAGCTGGTCCTTGGAAAAGATAAATAAAATTGACAAGCCTTTAAGCAGACTCATCAAGGAAAAAAGGTAGAGGACCCAAATTAATAATATCAGAATTGAAAGAGGAGAAATAACAACTGATATCACAGAAATACAAAGGATTGTCAGAAACTACTATGAACAATTATATGCCAAGAAATTTGAAAATCTTGATGAAATGGACAAATTTCTAGAAAAGTATAATCTTCCAACACTGAAGGAGGAAGAAACAGAAAGCTTGAACAGACCAGAAACATCTGGGGAATTGGAAGCAGTAATCAAGAAAATCCCAGCACACAAGAGCCCAGGGCTGGACGGTTTCCCAGGAGAATTTTACACAACATTTAAGGAAGAGCTAACCCCTGTCCTTCTCAAACAATTCTAAGAAGTCCAAGAGGAGGGAAGACACCCAGACTCTTTTTATGAGGCCAGCATCACCCTAATCCCAAAACTAGATAAGGACCCTAGAAAGAAAGAAAACTACAGGCCAATTTCGCTGATGAACATAGATGCTAAAATCCTCAACAAAATATTGGCAAACCGCATCCAGCAATACATTCAAAAGATTATCCACCATGATCAAGGGGGATTCATCCCAGGGATGCAGGGATGGTTCAATATACGCAAGTCAATAAACGTACTACATCACATAAATAAAAGAAAAGACAAGAACCACATGATCATCTCGATAGATGCAGAAAAAGCATTCGATAAGGTACAGCACCCATTTATGATCAAAACACTCAGCAAAATGGGAAGAAATGGGGCATTCCTCAACGTAATAAAGGCCATATATGAAAAACCTACAGCCAACATAATACTCAACATGCAAAAACTAAAAAATTTCCCACTAAGATTGGGAACACGACAAGAAGTTTCACCACTTCTTTTCAACACCGTATTGGAAGTCCTAGCCACAGCGGTCAGACAAGAGAAAGAGATAAAAGGCATCCAAATAGGAAAGGAGGAAGTAAAACTATCATTGTTTGCAGATGACATGATAGTATACATGAGAACCCTGTAGACTCTACCAAAAAACGCCTCAACCTAATAAGTGAATTTGGCAAAACAGCAGGATACAAGGTCAATATTCAGAAATCAAAGGGATTTTTGTACACCAACAATGAAATAGAAGAAGAAGAAATCAGAAAAAATATACCATTCGATATAGCAAGAAGAAAAATAAAGTACCTAGGAATAAATTTAACCAAAGACGTAAAAGATCTGTACGCAGAAAACTATACAACACTGAAGAAAGAAATTAAGGAAGACACAAATAAATGGAAGCATATGCCGTGCTCATGGATTGGAAGAATTAATATCATCAAAATGTCCATACTACCCAAAGTAATTTATAGATTCAACGCAATCCCTATTAAGATACCAATGACGTATTTCACAGAAATAGAACAGATATTTCAAAAATTTATATGGAACCATTAACGACCCCGAATAGCTGCAGCAAGTTGAGAAAGAAACAGAAAGTAGGAGGGATCACAATACCGGACATCAAACTCTACTACAAAGCCACCATACTCAAAACAATCTGGTACTGGCACAAGAACAGACTCATAGACCAGTGGAACAGAATAGAAAGCCCAGAAATAAGCCCAGGTCTCTATGGGCATCTAATATCTGACAAAGGGGGCAGAAGCATAAAGTGGAGCAATAATAGCCTCTTCAACAAATGGGTGTTGGGAGAGCTGAACGGTTACATGCAAAAAATTGA